CCTGTACAGAGATTAAAGCCACTGTCACTTCAGAGGTAGAGTGGGGTTTTGGCAGTTTGATTCCAGGTTTCTCCAATCCACATGTTGCAGCATCCTTGAGCAAGACACTGAACCCCAATTGCTTCCAGTTGTATCACTGGTGTGTCAATGTGTGTGAATGGGTGAATGGAAATACTGTAAAGTGCTCTGAGTGCACTTCAATGTGTAGAAGGGCACTATATAAGTATTAGACCATTAACCATTCACTAGCAGTTCCTGTTTTAGACTTGTAGTTTGGTACACTTCCACCTTTGGTTCCTTGTTCTCACCTCCAGCTTCACCACTCTTAAATTTCCAACCCCAGTTTACACACCTGTTTCCATTTGGTAATCAGTCTTTTTCGATCTGCTGTGAACATTGTTGGACTCCTAGTCCCCACAGTTTCTGGTCTGTGTTGGTTTGGGTTTTTTGTATGGACTGTTATTTTATATGTAGCTTTTTGTTTCTTCCAGTTTTTCTCCTCCAGGGATTTTATACTTTCTTCTCCAATCTCCTGTCCTTGTAGGTCAGTATTTTCTGTTAGACCAGCCATTTAGTTTCAGGTTTTTAGCCCCTTGAGTTTTGCCTTACCTTTGTTTCGTGGTATTTTCCATAGCTGTCCTTTGTCATGCCTTGGTTTTCCCTTAAATATTTGCTCCATACTTTAGATTTAATTATCTCTGTGGAGATTGTGCTCATCTGTTTCCTTCAATTTAATAAAGCCCTAGTATCCTGCCAATGTTGCCTGTTTTGGTTCTGCATTTGGGTTTGATTTAATTTATAAACAAACCATGCCACCAACAGTGATTTACCTCTACTCATTGTTAATGCCTGTCATTCTTGGATTATCTTATATTTCTGTGCCATAGACCTCCACTATTGTTCAAAAGTGATTAAAGACACGTCAGCAAAACACACACTGGGTGACATGTTTCCTCATTATAAAACACCAGACTCTAAAATATATTTTTTAAAATTTGCCCCAAGGGCGACAAACAGCCATAACATTTTACAGCAGTAAGCAAAAGTCAAATGTTCATGCACAAGGTCACACAAATATTATAGTCCGGTGTATTGTAATGAGGAAATGTATCAGCAGTGTGTTTCACTGATGTGAGATCTCTGGCACAAACAAGCTAATCCAGGACTGACAGACAGTAACAGTGAGTAGACGAAATTCATTGTTGGTTTTAGTATCTGTATGAGGAGTGTTGAAAATACTATTAAAATAGAAAATAACCATAATTATCCTTTAAAAGTGTCAGACATTAAGTGAAAGTAAGGTGTCATCCATTGTAAACCATATCAACCACAAAACATGACGCCCGTCGAGGCCAACGTGTTTGCTCATTCCGCTGTTGAATGCCAGCTTTTTCTTTTTTTGTGTGTGTTTTTCATTTTTTGTGCAGTGCACAATTGTCATGCACTGCTAACATACAACAGACAGGCATTGCTGGATATCACTAATCACAGCCCTCTGGAATTCACCAGTTTTATTCCACTGGAGCTATGACTAATTGTCTGCTCCTGCGGCAACCACGATCACCCCAGGAAGGCCCCTAAGCACCGACCTCGAGTGAGCAGGCTGACCCCTGGACAGCGATCTGGAGACAGAGAAGCAAGCGCAGCAAGAGGGGAGGACTCCATGCTAGGCTAAAAGCTTGTGCTAGCCGACTACTGCTACTCAGCCTCTCACTAGCTAACGTGCGGTCTCTGGAAAGCAAATTGGATAAGCTAAGAACTAGGATTACAACACAGCGAGAAATAAGAGAGTGCTGTACTCTCGTTTTCACCAAACCTGGCTATCGGGCAGTGTCCCAGAATCCGCTGTTCAGCTACAGATTCACTCTGTACGACAAGGAGACTGGACTGCAACTGCCAGAAAGGCCAAAGGGGGAGGTGTGTGTGTGTTTATCAACAACTCGTGGTGTGGAGATGTACAGACTGTCTATAAGCACTGTTCACCAGATGTGGAGTTTTTATTGCTGAAATGCCATCCCTATTATCTACCAAGAGAATTTATCTGTGTGTTTTTGGCTGGAATATACATAGCTCCAAGAGCTAATTCCATGGCGGCTCTCGACAAACTCCATGATGTCATCAGCGTGCTAGACATGGCTCACCCCGATGCTATATTTATCACTACATGCGACTTTAATCAGTGCAATCTATGGACTGTATTCCCCAAATATTACCAACCTGTGGACATTCCCACCTGGGACAAGAACACACTGGATCATGTTTACAGTAACATACAGTATGTGGTGCATACAGGGCTGCACCCCGCCCCCACTTTGAATGCTCAGACCACATTTCTTTGTTTCTGTATCCAGCTTACAGACAAAGATTGAAACAGGCTGGCATGTGTTTAAAGCTGCAGCCACCTTGGAAGACTTTTCTGTCAGCGTACAGGACTATGCTGAGTATGTGACTGGGTACACCAGCACTTGTGTTGACAACATCGTGCCCACCATACAAGTCAGGAGGTTCTCCAACCATAAGCCCTGGATATACAGTCAGGTACACCACATACTGTGTGATCGCTCTCTTGCATTCAGTTCAGGGAATGAGACGGTGTACAAAGCTGCGAGGTACAGACTGAGGAAAGCCATTATGGTGGCCAAGAGGCAGTACAGAGAGAAGCTGAATGGCTTCTATTCTACTGCTGTCTCCGGGCGGATGTGGCAAGGCCTGCAGCACATCACAGACAGCCTGCCGGATAACCTCAACATCTACACCCGCTTTGAGACCTACAACCACAGTACAGAGAGGAGGCACACACACACCGACACCATCCGACCCCCCTCCCCTCTATTAACTCTCATCAGGCCAGGTATGCAAAGCCTTGAGGAAGATTGACCCCCGCCAGGCAGCAGGACCAGACAACACCCCTGGACAGGCTCTGAGAGCATGTGCCAACGAACTGGCTGATGTTCTCACCTCCATCTTCAACCTTTCCCTCAGCGAGAGCATCATTCCCTCCTGCTTTAAGACCACAACCATCGTCCCCCTTCCCAAGAAGAGCCCGGTCACCTGTCTGAGTGACTATAGGCCAGTGTCACTCAGTCCAATCATTGCTTTCAACACCTTCTACACCTGCTTTGAGACCTCCAGCTACAGCACAGAGAAGAAGCATGCATATACCTGGATCACCCAATCCCCCACCTCCCCTCCACTAACTGTCTCACCAGACCAGGTACACAGAGTCCTGAGGAAGATTGACCCCCGCAAAGCAGCAGGACCGGACAACATCCCTGGGAGGGCTGTCAGGGCATGTGCCAGCAAGCTGGCTGATGTTCTCACTACCATCTTCAACCTCTCCCTCAGCCAGAGCATCATTCCCACCTGCTTTAAGACCACAACCATTCTCCCCCTTCCCAAGAAGAGCCCGGTCACCTGCTTGAATGACTACAGGCCAGTGGCACTCACCCCAGTCATTATGAAGTGTTTTGAGAGAGTGGTGCTGGCCCACATTCAGAGCAGTATACTGGACACCCTGGATCCCCTGCAGTATGCCTACATGCCCAACAGGGCCACCTCAGATGCTATCGCGGCTGCCCTTCATTATTTCCTTTCTCACCTGGAAAATGGAGACCCCTACATCAGGATACTCTTGATTGACTACAGCTCTGCCTTCAACACACTTGTCCCTCACAAACTCACCCACAAACTGTCCACACCAGGTCTACACCCCACCCTCTGTGACTGGCTCCTGGACTTTCTGACTGTCAGGATTGGCAATAAGACTTCAGCCAGCATTGTTGCAAACGCTGGCACCCCACAGGGATGTGTTCTCAGTCCCATTCTCTACACCCTGTTCACCCAAGACTGCGTCACCTCCTACAAGGACAACATCATCCTAAAGTTCACGGACGACACCGCAGTGATCGGACGCATCACTGGCGGGGACGAAACAGCCTACAAGAGGTAGGTGGTGTCATGGTACAATAATCTCGGCCTCAACATGGACAAGATGAAGGAGATTATCTTGGACATGAGGAAGGAGAGGAGATCTCATCAGCCGCTGTTCATCCCGGGGCTCAAAGTGGAGAGGGTGAGCATCTTCAAATACCTGAGCGTCCACATCATTGAGGACCTCACCTGGACACTTAACACCACACAGCTGGTCAAGAAGGCCCAATGTTGGCTGTACTTCCTGAGGAGGCTGAGGAGGTTTGGCATGTCGCCTAGGATCCTATGCAACTTTGACAGCTGCATCGTCGAGAGCATCTGGACCAGCTGCATCACTGTCTGGTATGGCAGCACTACTGCTATGGACCGCAAGCGCCTGCAGAGAGTGGTAAAGACTGCGGAGAAGATCACAAGGACTCCACTGCCCTCTCTGCAGAGCATTTACCACCGCAGGGTGCGCGGGAAAGCTGCCTCCATCCTCAAAGACCACACCCACCCCCAGCATGGACTGTTCATGTAGCTACCCTCCGGCCAGAGGCTCAGAAGTGTAAAATGCAGGAGCTCTAGAATGAAAAACTCTTTCTTTCCCTCCGCCATCAGACTCAGCTGACAGGAGTTCATTACCAGGAAATATGTCATGTACTGATGCCCTGTACTGTTTACATTCTCAGTTTGCACATGCGTTATTGCACAGACTGTTGACTGCTGCACATACAGCTCTCATGTAGCATAGATTCTCCTATTATATTATATATTTTTATTATATCTCTTCATTTTCTGCTGTAAAGTGCCTTAGATTTTGTGTTACTTATTTATCTACTTTATATTTCATTTGTATTGTGTGGCATTCATGTGGACAGCAAAGTAAGAATTTCATTGTAGATGCGTTTCCATACTGTGCATGACAATAAACACTTTGACTTTGATTTGATCTGCAAACTGCAACATTTCCATAGAAAGATGCAAAGTTTTTTTTAATTTAATTTATGTGCTTTCTCACTAGGACAGTAACTGATTATATTCAGAACCCACACAACACAGGCAAGATGTGATTTCACTTCTCTGCTTACCTTCCTCAGCAGGTTGCAGATCCTCTCGATGTTTCGCAGTCTCTCCCTCTGGAAGAAGACAGAAAAGATAAGTTATAGGACTCACAGAACATTTTATTGGTGATTTAGACAGCTGAGCATCCTGATGTCTGATGAGAGATGAAACAATATAGATGTTGCAAGTTTGTTCTTGTTCTGTATTTGGAAGTAAAGTAGATGGAAAACACGTAGGATGCTCAGTAAGGATGAACTTCCTGAGAGCTGTTCATATCTTCATAGATACAGTATATAGATAGAGGGAGAATCTACAGAGACTGTCACAGCCACATGAGAGAATCCTGAGAGCTGTTCATATCTTCATAGATACAGTATATAGATAGAGGGAGAATCTACAGAGACTGTCACAGCCACATGAATGTACCTCACACCTTATTTTATTGGGTAGTGTCAGAGGTGGGGAGTCAAGTCCAAGTCATGTAACTGAAGTCAGACTCAACAGAGCTATAACAAAACATAAACTGTGGGAGTTAGTGTGCCTTGCTAACTATTAACAGCATTCCACAAAGTTAAATTAAATACCTCCTAATTCAATTAGCCTTTGTCACTGTCCTGAGATTTATAGATTGCCTGATAAATTTGATTCACATTTATTTAAATATTTTTAAATAAAAATGTAAAATCTGATATAAACAGACATTTTTCTATTTTATGTTTACTTAAATGATTATTTCTTTTAGTGTTTATTTTTATATTATGAATTATACATTTTTTCAATATTTTCTAATTGTATTTTACAGGAAAATGATCTGTTATCTGGGGCATTCTGTTTTCAGTCACTGTAATTAAAACCTAAAAAAACATGAATTTGTCACCTAAAGATAAAGAACATGATTAAATGCTGAGATATGTGAGCTCAGTTGTTTTGAACAATGGCAACAATAGAGGTCATCATGAGGAGTCAGGCTAAAATACATCTATACAGCATTTTTTTGGGAGAGATTAGGAAGATGACTTTTCTTTAGCTGCTCTCAGCTTGGATATACAGTAGCTGTAGGTTGGTTAAATCAGCCACAATACTCTAACAGCCACTATTTCACCAAAGCTTTTAAAATCATCATCAAATATTAACTAATTCCTATAAAGATTCAGTCTGGACTTGAGTGGCGGTATTGTTATTCATGCTGTGATGCATAGGGGTGTGGCAATATACTTTTCTTATGAGACAAAACAACAAGATGATATTTTAGCACAATTTTTAAGAAATCTTCAATAACAAAATACATGACTGGAAAAAATAGTCTTTTATTCAACTTAAAGTCACAAAATGCAAAACACTTTAGGTACATTTTGAAATGTTTTAACTAATCATCTTGTAATGACTTCAGTTCTACTTTCTGAGTAGGAACTACAGTATCATATGCAGTAAAAGGGCGGCTGTGGATCAGGAGGTAGAGCGGGTCTTCTCCTAACTGGAAGATTAGCAGTTTGATTCCCAGCTTGTTCAGTCTACATGTTGAAGTGTCTTTGAGCAGGACACTGAACCCCCAGTTGCTGCGGGTGATGTCACCGGTGTGTGTAAGTGCCTGGGAGTGTGAATATGAGACCATTTACAACAATATCCAAACACTGTAAAATGTTTTGCCACAAACTCAACTGACTGGCTTCCCTCCTGTATGAGTTCATGAGTCTCTCTAGAACTGTCCATGAGCTTCTGGCTTCTAATTGAAGCTGTGTGCGGCCTTCTAACTGAACTCTTTTCCACAAATTAAACTTAAAACATGGATCTCTATATTTTGAATACAATACTTGACTAAATATTGATTATCATTGATTAACCAGTAATTATCAATCAAATCTTCACTTTTAGGCTTGAAACCATCATTTTTCTAAACTCAGTGCCTGTTTGTCACACACACACTCCCAACTTCCTCTTTTGTATGGATGTGTCTTACTTCCCTTTTTCTCTGTGAGTCAATTTTCTCACTCTTTATGATTTAAATTTTGAATGTACTTTAGGCTTCTAAATGTACCTTTTTCAATACAGTCATTTCTCACTTTATTCTTACACATTCACTAATGATTATCTCCAGAGGTGTGGACTCGAGTCACATGACTTGGACTCGAGTCGGACTCGAGTCATTAATTTGATGACTTTAGACTCGACTTGAAAAAATGTAAAAAGACTTGCAACTCGACTTGGACTTTAACACCAATGACTTGTGACTTCACTCGGACTTGAGCCCTTTGACTTGAAAAGACTTGATACAAACCCAAATATTAAAACATTTTTAAATGCGTGCACTAATCCATTCATTTCACTCCTCCCCC